TGAAAGGAAAGCCTCTGCCTTTGTTTGTGTTTGTTTGTCTCATTTTATTGCAACAAGTCCCCATGGGAAGAAGGGAGGAATATATATAAAATGTTATTTATTTATGTCTCTTTTCTCTCTTAAACGAGACCCAAAGCAGCAAAGGACTGAGATCTGAAATGCAAGAGCTTTCATTCTAGAAGAACTTAAAACCCACCCATTGGATCCAAAGATACAATATAGGCAGCCTTCCATTTTGCTAAGGTTTGGGGTGCAAGACCCCCACAAAAGTGGAAGAAACCATGCATAAAAATCTTTTAAAAACTAAACATCTCTTTAGGAAGTTCAACAAGTACAACACTATGCTCATCTTACACCGCACGTTGACCACAGAGTTGTGCTACAGAACCTATGAGTTTCTAGGTCATGCGCCATGACTCTTAAGAAAAGTTGACCATAGAGATCCCTTCTACATTGCCATATAAAATCTAGTTTATCTGCATTGAACTGGATTATATGGCAATGTAGATCATATAATCCAGTTCAAAGCATAATCTAGATAGGGTTGCGGTGAGTTTTCCAGGATGTCTGGCCATGTTCCAGAAGCATTTTCTCCTGACGTTTCACCCACATCTATGGCAAGCATCCCCAGAGATTGTGAGGTCTGTTGGAAGCCAGGAAAGTAGGGTTTATATATCTGTGGATTATCCAGGGTGCGAGAAAGAACTCTTGTTATAATCTGGATTATATAGCAGCGTGGAAGGGACCAGAGTTGCACTGGAGGGCCGAAAGATTCCTAGCGAAAACATTCCCATCAAATTGACAAAGGTCAAACCAACCAATGCAGAGGGCCAACTGTATGATATTTTACTGATGGAGAGGAGGAAAGATCACACAGGGCCAAACTGTGTTCACTTTTTTAAAAAAACTATGCCTTGGATAAGTGCAATTCACATATCGAGGCTGATGTTTGCACGGACACACTCCAAGGAGTTTTGTTGTCCCGTCTGTTAATTTGGGAAAAACCAGGACTAGTTCTCCAACGGACTAGCATGCAGCTTCCCACAACATAAAGGTCATTTATCCACAAACATTACATACGATTTTGAGGATCTCAAGGACAGATTCCACTCCGGATATTTTGATTTCATCTTGACCCTTACGGAAACAAAGTGGATTTATTGGGCTAGACCAGGCATGGGTCAACTCCGACCCTCCAGGTATTTTGGACTTCAACTCTCACAATTTCTAACAGCTTACTGCTGTTAGGAATTGTGGGAGTCGAAGTCCAAAACGCCGGTAACAGGCCTAGATGAGAAGATGCAGCTCGACTACGGTCATCATGCTGGTTGGAGGAATCCTGAGAATTAGAGTCCAAAAAAGACTGGGTTGCTGTAGGTTTTTTCGGGCTATATGGCCATGTTCTAGAGGTCTTCTCTCCTGACATTTTGCCTGCATCTATGGCAAGCATCCTCTGAGGATGCTTGCCATAGATGCAGGCAAAACATCAGGAGAGAATGCTTCTAGAACACGGCCATATAGCCTGAAAAAACTACCTGTGAGGATGCTTGCCATAGATGCAAGTGATGCATTCTAGAGGCATTCTAGAGAATGCCTCTAGAACAGGGGTAGGGAACCTTTGGCCCTCCAGCTGTGGTGGACTTCAACTCCCACAATTCCTTGAGGCTCGGCATTCGCCCCAAAGGCTTACCTTGGCCCAATGCCGAGCCTCAAGGAATTGTGGGAGTTGAAGTCCACCACAGCTGGAGGGCCAAAGGTTCCCTACCCCTGCTCTAGAACATGGCCATATAGCCCAAAAAAACCTACAACAACCCAGTGATTCCAGCCATGAAAGCCTTCGACAATACACCGATGATGATGTGATATTGACAAGTGGAATGTGTCCAGAGGAGGGTGACTAAAATGATCAAGGGTCTGGAGAACAAGCCCTATGAGGAGCGGCTTAAAGAGCTGGGCATGTTTAGCCTGAAGAAGAGAAGGCTGAGAGGAGATATGATAGCCATGTGTAAATATGTGAGAGGAAGCCCCAGGGAGGAGGGAGCAAGCTTGTTTTCTGCTTCCTTGGAGACTAGGACGCAGAACAATGGCTTCAAACTACAAGAGAGGAGATTCCATCTGAACATGAGGAAGAACTTCCTGACTGTGAGAGCCGTTCAGCAGTGGAACTCTCTGCCCCGGAGTGTGGTGGAAGCTCCTTCTTTGGAAGCTTTAAACAGAGGCTGGATGGCCATCTGTCGGGGGTGCTTTGAATGCAATTTTCCTGCTTTTTGGCTGAATGGGGTTGGACTGGATGGCCCAGGAGGTCTCTTCTGATTCTATGATTCTATGTGACGAACAGGCTAAAAAAGGCGGAAGGAAACTTCTATGACACAGGCATCCAAAAACCCGTTGCATGGATGACAAAATGCATTGAACTGAATGGTGATTACGTGGAAAAATAATGCAATATCTATGCTACAATCCATGAAAACATATTCATTCTTTGTATTTTTAAAGAAATCTTGTGACTTTACTTTCCGGATATCCCTCATACTTGGAGTACCTCCGAAGCATTTGCTTTCAGGCAATGCCTCTATTGGAGTGCTTCACAAACTTTGTGTATTTTGGGTTTCAATTCCCAGAAGCCCCGGCCAGTTTGGACAAGGAACTCAGGGAGCAAAAGCCCCAAATATCCGGAAGCCCAAAATTTGGGAAACCCTGACTTACAGCAATTTCCACAGCCCCACGTTGCTTGAGAAGCTTGAATTTGGGAGTTTCGTGGAGTGCTTACACTTCTCTGCCAGTGAGTTCCAATGGCAAATCTCCCCAAGGAAACTACAAATCCCACAATTTCAAGAGTCAAAACCTGTTTCAATGCTCTATGTCCCATGAGAAGCTTGGATTTGGAGTTTCATGGAGTGCTTACAGTTCTCTGCCAGTGCGTTCCAATGGTAAATGACAAATCTCCCCTAGGAAACTACAAATCCCATAATTTCATGAGTCAAAACCTGTTTCAATGTTCTGCATCCCATGAGAAGCTTGGATTTGGAGTTTCATGGAATGCTTAGACTTCTCTGCCAGTGAGTCCCAATGGTAAATGACAAATCTCCCCTAGGAAACTACAAATCCCAGAATGTCATGAGTCAAAACCTGTTTCAATGCTCTGCATTCCATGAGAAGCTTGGATTTGGAATTTCATGGAGCGCTTACACTTCTCTGCCAGTGAGTTCCAATGGCAAATGACAAATCAACCCAAGGAAACTACAAATCCCATAATTTCAAGAGTCAAAACCTCTGCGTCTCATGGTGTTTCGTGGAGTGCTTAGGCTTCTCTGCCAGTGAGTTACAATGGCAAATCTCCCCAAGGAAACTAGAAATTCCATAATTTCAAGAGTTAGCTCACACTTGTGCAATGAGAAAGGGGGTAAATCTCCCCTAGGAAACTACAAATCCCATAATTTTATGAGTCAAAACCTGTTTCAATGCTCTGCATCCCATGAGAAGCTTGGATTTGGGAGTTTTTGGAGTGCTTACACTTCTCTGCCAGTGAGTCCCAATGGTAAATAACAAATCTCCCCCAGGAAACTACAAATCCCATAATTTCATGAGTCAAAACCTGTTTCAATGCTCTGCATCCCATGAGAAGCTTGGATTTGGGAGTTTTGTGGAGTGCTTACACTTCTCTACCAGTGAGTTCCAATGGCAAATGACATCTCCCTAAGGAAACTACAAATCCCATAATTTCAGTGTCAAAACCTCTGCATCCCATGAGAAGCTTGGATTTGGAGTTTCGTGGAATGCTTAGACTTTTCTGCCAGGGAGTTACAATGGCAAATCTCCCCTAGGAAACTACAAATCCTACAATTTCAAGAGCCAAATCTGTTTCAATGCTCTGCATCCCCATGAGAAGTTTGAATTTGGAGTTTTGTGGAGTGCTTAGACTTCTCTGCCAGTGAGTTCCAATGGCAAATGATAAACCTCTCCAAGGAAACTACAAATCCCATAAGTTCAAGGCTCAAAACCTCTGCGTCCCAAGAGAAGCTTGGATTTGGAGTTTCGTGGAGTGCTTAGACTTCTCTGCCAGTGAGTCCTAATGGCAAATGACAAATCTCCTCCAGGAAACTACAAATCCCATAATTTCAAGTGTCAAAACCTGTTTCAATGCTCTGCGTACCATTAGAAGCTTGGATTTGGAGTTTAGTGGAGTGCTTAGATTTCTCTGACTGTGAGTTACAATGGTAAATCTCCCCTAGGAAACTAGAAATCCCATAATTTCAAGAGTTAGCTCACACTTGTGCAATGATAAAGGGGGCATAGCATGACTGTGCCTTCTCGATAGGGAAGTTTTACTCAAATCTCCTTCACATTTCACACATTTTGGTCTTTTTTCAGGTTGCAAAACAGCACCCTTTGGAGGTCCTCAACCAATCCGAAGCGTGGTTTTCCTTCAGTTCCTAAATCAGTGCAAAGTCTCTTCCATTTCTCCTGATGAGAGGGACCCATTCCCAAATGCCCGTGCCAACTGGCTATCCCGCAGCCAAGGCAAGCTTGCAACTACAGTTCCTTATGGTGCCAAAACAACACATCCTGTTCCCACCTCTGCTTTCCGCCGTGCGAGTATCCAAATATCCAAAATCGTGATTTTTTGCTTTGGAAAATGAGACTGTGAAGCCCCAAAGGGCTGAGTGAACCCAAGGAGTTGGTCACAAGGGGAATTGTGGCCATGCAAAAGGGACTGCAGTCCCAGAGAAGAGGAACAAATGGAAAAAAACACAATGACAAGTCGTGCCGTCCTTGGAAATGTGTCTTGTTACGCTCTCCCCCCTTTGTGTATTTCTTGTACGGCTTGGATGCAAACAAGACGCAGTTCCAGACTATGTAGAGTGGTCCCAGTCGTCTCCGGAAGACTAAATGAACGTCCCCAAGATAGATATGTGCAGTTAGTTGGGAAAGAAAGGGTTGCCCAGAACAGATATTATTATCTCATGCTGTTGGAGAAGAAACACAAGATGGGGTGGGGGTGGGGGGGAAAGGGAACACTTCCTTTGGAAATATTTTGGTTAAAAGTGCAAACACCGATCTCTCCAACCGTCAGGGGACTTTGTTTTGTTTACGAATGCATGACCACGAAAATGCTCTCGGAAGCCACTGCAATGTCAACACTTCCATCATGGCAGGAAATGGCCTTTTGGTCCAAAGCACACCGCACCGTATTGTTCCTTCCCCATATTATGGAATGAATGGGAACCCCCCCCCCCCAAGATGCTGGGGGTGCTGGGGGTCCTTCTCTTTTCCCAGGTCAGTTCTGCAGCGCCAGGTGCCCGTTGTGGTGATGCCTTGAATCCAAGCTGCCGTGAGTGAAGAGCAGCGGAGCAATGTCCGTGGAAGGAGCCGCCGAGGAAGGGATCGAGGCGCAGATGTCGCTTCCCGTCAACGATCCGTACCATCCAGAGCTCTGAGGAGTTGATATGCTACGGAGAGAAGAGGATGGTGAAAGGAAACTTGCAAGAACAATTAGGAGCAGATGGTGCCACACCAGAGAACCTCAGCACAACTGATCACAGAATCATCTATATATATAAAAATGCTCTGTGCATAATGAGTACCTTAAAAACAAAAGAACCAATGAACGAAATCACACCAAATTTGGCAACAAAACATCTCACAACACAAGGAGTGACCATCACTCAAAAAATTATGATTTTGTCACTTGGGAGTTGTAGTTGCTGGGATTTACAGTTCACCTACAATAAAAGAACATTCTGAACTCCACCAACAATGGAATTGAAGCAAACTTGGCACACAGAACTCCCATGACCAACAGATAACACTGGAAGGGTTTTGGTGGGCGTTGACCTTGAGTTTTGGAGTTGTAGTTCACCTACATCTAGAGAGAACTGTGGACTCAAACAATGATGGATCTGGACCAAACTTGGCACAAATACTCAACATGCCGAAATATAAACACAGACGGAGTTTGAGTGAAATAGACCTTGACATTTCGGAGTTGAAGTTACTGGGATTTATAGTTCACCTACAATCAAGGAGCATTCTGAACCCCATCAACAACAGAATTGGGGCAAATTTCCCACACAGAACCCTCATGACCAACAGAAAATACTGTGCTTTCTGGTAGTCTTTGGTGACCCTTCTGACACCCCCTCACAATCCCGTCCCCAGGGGTCCCAAACCCCAGGTTGAGGAATGCTGCCTTAAGGCCATCCAATCCAACTCCCTTCACCAGGGCAAGAAAACAGAATCAAAGCCCTCCTGACATTAGGCCATCCACACATTCACACACACACACACATATGTATATGACAGATGCAGTATCAAAGATCTGAAAGGGACCCCTAAAGAAGGACAATGATAGGTTGCATGTTCCAGAGTAGGCAAACCAGACAATCTCCACGTCAACACTGGCAAAGACACAGCAAGGAATACTGTTTACCCACAACCATAAAGACATTACATATATTAGAAACCAACACTTTCTCATTACGTTATTTTCCATATCAACAGACTGGGCCACAGCAACACGTGGCAAGGGACAGCTAGTAACATAATAATAATAATAATAATAATAATAATAATAATAATCCTTTATTTATACCCCGCTACCATCTCCCGCAGGACTCGGTGTGGCTTACAAGAGGCCGAGCCCAAATATTATTATTATTTATTTATTTACTTTGCTTATATACCGCTGTATCTCAAGCCCGAAGGCGACTCACGGCGGTTCACAAACAGTAAAAACAGTAGAAACAGCAGTGGTTCCATGCAACATATAACAATTGACTTAACACATGATCCATAAATTACCAATAATACATCAGAAACAAAACACAAAACAAACAATACAACAATAAATATCTCATAGCAAAGCAAAACAATAACAAAAATATCACGACGCATTTAAAAACCTGTGGCAGGCCAAATCTAATGATTAATTTTTTTTAAAAAATGCTGGGCATGTCCAGGTGAAATATGACTTCTCTTCTTCAGGCTAAACTCCCAGCTCGGCTTCGTTTTTACTGGCACGTTAATCTATTAATTTATTGTTAAATTTTACTGATGATGTACAATGTTTTAAATAACACTAGCGGTTCCCTGCCACGCGTTGCTGATCTGTATAATAAAGTAATGAGAAAGTGTTGGTTTCTAATATATGTAATTTCTTTATGCTTGTGGGTAAAACACCATTTCTTGCTGTTTCTTTGTCAGTGTTGATGTGGAGAGTGTCTGGTTTGCCTACTCTGGAACAGGCAACATATCATTGTTTTTCTTTAGCGGTCCCTTTCAAATCTTTGATACTGCATCTGTCGAATGGCTGTATGGCCCTTTGTCAGGAGGGATTTGATTATGTTTTCTTGCCCTGGTGAAGGGAGTTGGACTGGATGGCTTTAAGGCAGCATTTCTCAACCTGGGAAGTCAAGACCCTGGGGGGGAGGTGGTGGTGGTGGTCACCAGGCGGGTGTCAGAAGGGTCACCCAAAACCACCAGTATTTTCTGTTGGTCATGAGGGTTTTGTGTGAGATGTTTGGCCCAATTCCATCATTGGTGGAGTTCAGAATGCTCTTTTATTGGAGGTGAACTATACATCCTAATAATTTTGTTGTTGTTGTTCATTCGTTCAGTCGTCTCCGACTCTTCGTGACCTCATGGACCAGCCTACGCCAGAGCTCCCTGTCGGCCGTTACCACCCCCAGCTCCCTCAAGGTCAGTCCAGTCACTTCAAGGATACCATCCATCCATCTTGCCCTTGGTCGGCCCCTCTTCCTTTTGCCTTCCACTTTCCCCAGCATAATTGTCTTCTCTAAGCTTTCCTGTCTTCTCGTTATGTGGCCAAAGTACTTCATCTTTGCCTCTAGTATCCTTCCCTCCAATGAGCAGTTGGGCTTTATTTACTGGAGTATGGACTGGTTGGATCTTCTCGCAGTCCAAGGCACTCTCAGAACTTTCCTCCAACACCACAGTTCAAAAGCATCTATCTTCCTTCACTCAGCCTTCCCTAAGGTCCAGCTCTCACATCCGTAGGTGACTACAGGGAATACCATAGCTTTGACTATGTGGATCTTTGTTGCCAGTGTGATGTCTCTACTCTTCACTATTTTATCGAGATTGGACATTGCTCTCCTCCCAAGAAGTAAGCGTCTTCTGAATTCCTGGCCACAGTCTGCATCTGCAGTAATCTTTGCACCTAGAAATACAAAGTCTGTCACGGCCTCCACGGTTTCTCCCTCTATTTTCCAGTTGTCAATCATTCTTGTTGCCATAATCTTGGTTTTTTTGACGTTTAGCTGCAACCCGGCTTTTGCGCTTTCTTCTTTCACCCTAATAATTACAACTCCCAAATGTCAAGGTCTATTTCCCCCAAACCCCATCTGTGTTCAAATTTGGGCATATTGAGTATTCTGTCAAGTTTGGTCCAGATCCATCATTGCTTGAGTCCACAGTGTTCTCTGGATGGAGGTGAACTACAACTCCAAAACTCAAGGTCAAATCCTACCAAACCCTTCCAGTATTTTCTGTTGGTCATGGGAGTTCTGTGTACCAAGTTTGGTTCAATTCCATTGTTGGTGGAGTTCAGAATGCTCTTTGATTGTAGGTGAACTATAAATCCCAGCAACTACAACTCCCAAATGACAAAATCATAATTTTTTTGAGTGATGGTCACTCCTTGTGTTGTGAGACGTTTTGTTGCCAAATTTGGTGTGATTTCGTTCATTGGTTCTTTTGTTTTTAAGGTACTCATTATGCACAGAGCATTTATATATATATAGAGAGAGATACTAGATTAGAAGAGCTTACCTGTCCAAACGTATCTCTCATAGAATCATCATAGAATCATTATTACTAATTATTATTATTAACTTTATTTATACCCCACAAAATCTCCCGAGGGACTTGATGCGGCTTACAATGGCCAAGGCCGCCAACAAACAACAACATACAAATATAACAGTAGAACTCATAAGCAAATAATAAAACATCAAGCAAAACAATAAAACTCTAAAAACAATGACACCATGACGCATTTAAAAACCTAAAGAGTTGGAAGAGACCTTGTGAGCAATCTAGTCCAACCCCATTCTGCCAAGAAGCAGGAAAATTGTATTCAAAGCACCCCCAACAGATGGCCACCCAGCCTCTGTTTCAAAGCCTCCAAAGAAGGAGCCTCTAACACACTCTGGGGCAGAGAGTTCCACTGCTGAACAGCTCTCACAGTCAGGAAGTTCTTCCTCATGTTCAGATGGAATCTTCCTAAATCCCTGAGGGGAGATGGTGGTGGAGTATAAATAAAGTATAATAATAATTGGGTTGTTGTAGGTTTTTGGGGCTATATTTATTTATTTATTTATTTACCTTACTTATATACCGCTGTTCTCAGCCCGAAGACGACTCACAGCGGTTCATAACAAATACAAACAGCAAAAATTCAGTGCTACAGTGTAGAAACAGTTAACAACCTAACACATTACACATTACACCACCCATTCACTGTCGTCTCGTCATCAAAAACATGTTCCAGATTCGTCATCCATTGTTCCATTCCAGTGTTCATTAACCAATCATTGCACTAATTATTCGAACGCCTGCTCAAACAGCCAGGTCTTCAGTTTTTTGTGGAATACCATTAGAGATGGTGCTAGTCTAATGTCCGTAGGAAGGGCGTTCCACAGCCGAGGAGCCACCACCGAGAAGGCCCTATCTCTCGTCCCCGCCAGCCGAGCTTGAGAAGCAGGCGGGATCGAGAGCAGGGCCTCCCCGGAAGATCTCAAAGTCCTGGTGGGTTCATAGGCAGAGATGCGGTCGGATAGGTAGCTTGGACCGGAACCGTTTAGGGCAGTGGTTCTCAACCTTCCTAATGCGGTGACCCCTTAATACAGCCCCTCACGTTGTGGTGACCCCCAACCATAATATTGTTTTCGTTGCTACTTTGTAACAGTCATTTTACTTCTGTTATAAATCATCATGTAAATATCTGATATGCAGGATGCATTATCATTCACTGGACCAAACTGGGCACAAATACCCAATACACCCAAATGTGAATGCTAGTGGGGTTGGGGGAGGATTGATTTTGTAATTTGGGAGTTGTAGTTGCTGGGATTTATAGTTCACTTATAATCAAAGAGCATTCTGACTCCACCAGCGATGGATTTGAACCAAACTTGGCTCCCATGACCAATGGAAAACACTGGAAGGGTTTGATGGGCATTGACCTTGAGTTTGGGAGTTGTAGTTCACCTATATCCAGGGAGCACTGTGGACTCATGCAATGGTGGATCTGGACCAAACCTGGCACAAATACTCAATATGGCCAAATGTGAACACTGGTGGAGTCTGGGGAAAATAGATCTTGACATTTGGGAGTTGTAGTTGATGGGATTTATAGTTCATTACAATCGAAGAACATTCTGAACTCCACCAATGATAGAATTGGCTCAAACTTCTCACATGGAATCCCCATGACTATCAGAAAATACTGTGTTTTCTTATGGTCTTTGGCGACCCCTCTGACACCCCCTCGCGACCCCCTCAGGGGTCCCGACCCCCAGGTTGAGAAACACTGTTATAGGCAGAAAGACAACACCAGCACTTTGAATTGAGCCCGGTAGCAAGTCAGCAGCCAGTGGAGTTGGCGCAACAGGGGGGTTGTATGCTCCCTGCGTCCCGCTCCTGTTAGAATCATGGCTGCCGACGTTGGACTAGTTGGAGCTTCCGAGCTGTCTTCAAAGGCAACCCCACGTAGAGAGCGTTGCAGGGATGTAACCAGAGCGTGGACTACTGTGGCCAAGTCAGACTTCCCAAGGTACGGGCGCAGCTGGCGCACAAGCTTTAGCTGTGCAAATGCTCCCCTGGTCACCGCCATGTTCTAGAGACATTCTCTCCTGACGTTTCACCTGCATCTATGGCAAGCATCCTCAGAGTACCTCTTGTCCCTTGTCCCCGCCAGACGCGATTGCGACAATGGATGATCTTAGGCCCCTAGGTGGATCGTAGCAGGAGATACGTTCGGACAAGTGAACTGGGCCAGAACCGTTCAGAGCTTTATAGGTTAAAGCCCCCCCCCCCCCCCCGGCACCAACTTCTGCTCTGGCCAGAGTGAAGACAAAGGGGGGCAGAAGAAAGTTCCAGCTTGTTTCCTGTGTTTTACTAATAATTTATTTATTTATTTATTTATTATTTGAACTTCTATGCCGCCACTCCCCTGGGGCTCGGAGCGGCTTACAAGAATAGCTAAAATCTAACAAAATTTAAAAGCAATTTAAAACAATTTAAAAACAACACTATCAAACATTAAAAGCCTGTCGAAACAGGTATGTCTTACATGCCCTGCGGAAAGCTGGTAAGTCCCGCAGGCACGGACTTCAGGTGGCAGAGCATTCCAGAGTGATGGTGCCACTGCTGTGAAGGCTCTGCGTCTGGTTGCTGTTAGACGCAAGGTCTTGACACTGGGAATTTCCAATAGATCTTGGTCCTCAGAACGGAGGGATCTCTGGGGTTGGTAGGGGGTGAGGCGGTCCCTCAGATACATCGGCCCCAGACCATGCAAGGCCTTAAAGGTGAGTACCATCACTTTGAAAGTGATCCGGTGCTCAATTGGTAACCAATGCAGCTGTAGTAAGATTGGGGTTATGTGGCATCTCATCGGAATTCCCGCAAGAAGCCGAGCAGCTGCGTTTTGTACCAACTTGAGCTTCCGAATCACCGACAGAGGGAGGCCAATGTAGAGGGCGTTACAGTAGTCCAGTCTTGAGATGACCGTGGCCTGGATCACCGTAGCTAGGTCGTCCCTGGACAGGTAGGGGGCCAGCCGTCTAGCCTGCCGCAGATGAAAAAGGCGGTTCTGCTCACGGCGGAGACCTGGGCCTCCATCGTCAGCAGAGGGTCCAAAAGGACTCCCAGACTCTTTACCAATGATGACGGGCGTAGCGCCTCGCCATCCAGGGTAGGCAGCTGGATGTCCCCACTGCCCGGTCGACCCAGCCATAGGATCTCCGTCTTTGCTGGATTCACCCTCAACCTGCTGGCACGCAGCCATCCAGTAACGGCCTCGAGGCACTGATGGAAACAATCGGGTACAGAGTCCGGTCGGCCTTCCATCTTCAGCACCAGCTGAGTGTCATCGGCATACTGATAACACTCAAGCCCAAAACCTCGAACCAGCTGAGCAAGTGGTCGCATATAGATGTTAAACAACAGAGGGGAGAGAATGGCCCCCTGAGGAACCCCACAAGATAGAGGGGGACCTCTCAGAGACCAGGCCTCCCCTCTCCACTCGCTGTCCACGGTTGTGAAGAAAGGAGGACAGCCAGTTTAAAGCTCTCCCCCTGATTCCAGCAACAGCAAGGCGGTGGGTCAAGAGATTTATTTATTTATTTATTTATTTATTTATTTCCTCCTTTTCCCCGCCCTTCTCACCCCCGGGGGGGGGGGGGGGGGACACTATATAAATATAATATTTATAATATTATAATGTAATACAATATAATACTACTAATAATAATTATAATTATATATTTATATTACATGTAATACTAATAATATCACAATATATAGATGGTTTAGTACAATACAGTAATATATAATACTGATATTGTACTATGCTAATAATATAATGTATGTGTGTGTGTGTGTGTATGTATATGTATGTATCTCTCTCTCTCTCTCTCTTGTAAGCAGCTCTGAGTCCCCTTTGGGGTGAGAAGGGTGGCATATAAACGTTGTAAATAAATAAAGAAAGAAATAAAGCCAGCACTTTGAATTGTGCTCGGAAGCTGATAGGCAGCCAGTGGAGCTGGCGTAACAAGGACGTTGTGCACTCCCTGTACCCAGCCCCAGGGAGCAGCCTGGCTGCTGAACGTTGGACTAGTTGAAGCTTCCGGGCAGTCTTCAGAGGCAACCCCACGTAGAATGCATTGCAGTAGTCCATTCGGGATGTAACAAGAGCATGGACCACCGTGGCCAAGATGCCTTGGAATCTGGTGGAGTCCCCTCCTTTGGAGGTTTATAAGCAGAGGCTGGATGGCCACCTGTCAGAAGGGCTTGGATGGTAGAAGGGGGTTGGAATGGATGGCCTTTGGGGGTCTCTTCCAACTCCACGATTCTAACTCCTGCCCAAATATTCTCTTCAACATGCCCCACTAAAGAGACAGGAGCCCTCTCCTGTTGTCACATTGCAACCCTAATCCCAAGCAAGGTCTCAGAATATTTTGTGTTGCACGCAGAATGGATTTATGTGAGCAAGAACCCCAGAGTCTGATCACGCCACCTACCTTCCTCCTCCGCCAAGCCTGGGAAGGTCGTCGTCGCTGTCGTACCGCCTTGGGTTGTCAAAGAAGTAAGCCCTGGAGCTGTAGCTGTGGCTGTTGATCATCCCTGCAGGCGCCTGTTGGGGAAAGAACACAGGGAAATTGGGCCTTTGTAGCAGTACAGGCAGTCCCCAAGTTACAAACATCTGACTCCTAGTTAAGACTGGGGCTTTATTTTTTATTTATCGTGTCAGGAGTGAACCAAACAGTTGTATTGTATTAAAAAACAAACAATACGAAGTTTTCCAAACTTGGCATTCTATTAAATGTCCTTTGAGCAGAAGTTGGCCACTTGGAGTGCCTCTGGTGTTGCCCCAAGAAGGTCATCCATTGTGCATTTGGTAGGGTTCAGGTTGCATTGTAGTAGGTGGTCAGTGGTTTGCTCTTCTCCACACTCGCATGTCGTGGATTCCACTTTGTGGCCCCATTTCTTGCGCTCTGGCATCTCATGGTGCCAGAGCGCAGTCTGTTCAGCACCTTCCAAATCGCCCAGTTTTCTGTGTGCCCAGGGGGGAGTCTCTCATTTGGTCTCAGCCATGGATTGAGGTTCTGGGTTTGAGCCTGCCACTTTTGGACTCTTGCTTGCTGAGGTGTTCCAGTGAGTGTCTCTGTAGATCTTAGAAAACTATTTCTTGATTTAAGTCTTTGGCATACTGGCTGATATCCAGAGATGTCACTGCCTTGGTCCTTCCACTATTGGTTGCTACTTCCCGGCGGATGTCAGGTGGTGCAGTACCGGCTAAACAGTGTAATTTCTCCAGTGGTGTAGGGCACAGACACCCCGTGATAATGCGGCATGTCTCATTAAGAGCCACATCCACTGTTTTAGTGTGGTGAGATGTGTTCCACACTGGGCATGCGTACTCAGCAGCAGAGTAGCATAGTGCAAGGGGAGATGTCTTCACTGTGTCTGGTTGTGATCCCCAGGTTGTGCCAGTCAGCTTTCATATGATATTGTTTCTAGCACCCACTTTTTGCTTGGGATTCAGGCAGTGCTTCTTGTAAATCAGAGCACGATCCAGAGTGACTCCCAGGGCTTTGGGTGTGCTGCAATACTCCAATGGGAGTCCTTCCCAGGTCATCCTCAGAGCTCGATACTTGTCTGTTTTTTAGATGAAAAGCACACGAAACCAGCTGAAAAGCACATGTCAGCTGGTTTCCCCTGTAATAGGCAGTAAGAGTACCTAGAGCTTTGGAGAGCTTCTGTCCAGCCATTTAGCTCTCTGCTTGAATGGTGATGGCATGATCGTCAGCATAGATGAAACTCTCTGTCCTTTCTGGCAGTGGCTGGCCATTTGTGTAAATGTTGAACATGGATGGAGCAAGCACACTCCCCGGAGGCAGGCTGTTCTTCTGTTTTCGCCATCTGCTTCCCTGGCCCTGGAACTCAACAAAAAAGCTCCTGTTTTGTAGTAGATTTCCTATGAGGCAGGTGAGGCGAAGAACGGGGCTGAAACAACAGGAAGTGGAAGGAATCAACCCCTCGGAAGGAAGGGAAATCCACTCTTAGAAGAGTTATTATCATGGGGAAAAACGTCTCCACTGAAGCGTTATCTCCAATATTTGCATAACAAGCCACATTTTTCAAAATCCCATTCTCACAGGGGAAAAAAGTGAGGTGAGATCTTCCGAACAGAGGTACAGACAGCCACAGGGGTGTTAACCCTTCCCTATACTATCCAAATATAAACTACACAGACACACACAAAATGCACCTGCTCTGGCTTATTTATTTATGTATTTACTATATTTATGTCCCGCCTTTCTTGCCCCTGAAGAGGACTCAAGACGGCTTACAACAATGGCATTGATAACACAGGCAAATCAGCTGTTAAACTGATAAACCATGTCTTTGAACTGCCAGGGACAAAGACATGCCATTGCACAAAAATATATATATTAAATGTCCTAAATATATATATACAATTAAAATGAGAGCATTTTAACCCCCTTCCACACTCCATCCTATTCACATTTGCATGTTTTTGAACTGCTAGGTCGGCAGAAGCTGGGGCTAACAGTGGGGCACTCCCCGGATTCGAATCTGGGACCTTTCAATCAGCAAGTTCAGCAGCTCAGCGGTTTAACCCTCTGCACCATCGGGATCTCCTTGTAGAAATATTATGGGATTATTTTGTACTCGATTCTTTAGTTTTCCTGTTTTATTTTCAATTCATTGGATTTAAGTGACTAAAATTCAATAAAAAATTATTAGAGAAAACAGTAATAAGATGGCGAAACGCCTCCACTCTTCCCTACCAAATTCTGCGACAGGCGCTGGGCTCTGAAGAACAGCACCACAAATAAGGTCGGGATAAACTCCCAGAGGAAAAACACCATCCCAAAGACAACGTATTCTTTGCTGCTGACATCTTCCCCTCGAACCTGTGTAGGAACAGGAAGGAAGCATTCCAGGCCGTGAAATGAAGGCAAAACGACACATCTTACAGATAGACCCAATTCGACCCTTCCCGACAGATGGCCATCCAGCCATCCGTTGGACTCTGATGGTCCCCTCCTTTACCTTCAGGTTGTCCCAGCCGTAGTTGAACGGACTGGGCATGTGGTCTGGAGAGACGGTGACGGCCACCATGTTATAGAACGCCATTGAAGAGTAGAGGAGGACGACGACCGAACCCACGAGCAGCGCTTGGCAGACAGACGTGCCCTAGATTTATTTTGTTTGCAAAAGAAGAACACATATGCACAAGGGGCATTAAAAATACAACAGGCTAGTAGACGGATCCGTCCCCCTTAAGTGGTTGTTTATGCTGGGTGAAACGTTCACCGGGTACTGAACCGGAACAGAAGGCGTATTTTTAAACTTTTGAATATTTGAACGTGCCCAGATCGGGAAGTGAATATATATATATATATATTCTGTGCGTAATGAGTAACTTAAAAACAAAAGAACCAATGAACAAAATCACACCAAATTTGGCAACAAAACGTCTCACAACACAAGGAGTGACCATCACTCAAAAAATTATGATTTTGCCATTTGGGAGTTGTAGTTGCTGGGATTTATAGTTCACCTATAATCAAAGAGCATTCTGAACTCCCACCAACAATGGATTTGAACCAATCTTGGCACACAGAACTCCCTGACCAACAGAACACACTAGAAAGGTTGTGTTCTGTTGGTCAGGGGAGTTCTGTGTGCCACGTTTGGTACAATTCCATCATTGGTGGAATTCAGAATGCTCTTTGGTGGGCATTGACTTTGAGTTTTGGAGTTGTAGTTCACCTACATCTAGAGAGAACTGTGGACTCAAACAATGATGGATCTGGACCAAACTTGGCACGAATACTCAATATGCCCAAATATAAACACAGATGGAGTCTGGGGGAAATAGACCTTGACATTTGGGAGTTGTAGTTACTGGGATTTATAGTTCACCTACAATCAAGGAGCATTCTGAACCCCACCAACAGACAGAATTGGGGCAAACTTCCCATACAGAACCCTCATGACCAACAGAAAATACTGTGTTTTCTGGTGGTTTTTGGTGACTCTTCTGACACCCCCCTGGTGACCCCCCCCCAGGTCTTGACTTCCCAGGTTGAGAAATGCTGCCTTAAGGCCATCCAGTCCAACTCCCTCCACCAGGGCAAGAAAACATAATCAAAGCCCTCCTGACAAGGAGCCATCCAGCCATTCAAACACATACGCATATATGTATATGACAGATGCAGTATCAAAGATTTGAAAGGGACCCTTAAAGAAGGGCAATGATATGTTGCATGCTCCAGAGTAGGCAAACCAGACATGCTCCACATCAACACTGACAAAGAAACAGCAAGAAATACTGTTTACTCACAAGCAGAAAGAAATTGCATATATTAGAAACCAACACTTTCTCATTACTTTATTTTCCAGATCAGTAGACTGGGCCACAGCGCGTGGCAGGGGACAGCTAGTATGTATATACACACACACACACACACACACATCTGCCCCAGCTGCAAAGGTGGGTCTTGCTAACCCATTGTAAGAAACAAGTTGGAGACTTACCAGCCAGCCTACTGAATGCACCTACAGTGTAGACACAATCCATGAGATACACAAAGGGATTTGGGCAGGGAATAAAAACAGGCAGTGTCATCAGTGGGGCAATGGTTCCTCCCTAGTTTTTAGTCCAAACGTCACAGGAGATCTCCATGGTGCTGATCCCTCCTAAACTGATCTCAGATCGTTTTTTTCAAAGGTTATACTACAGCAGCGTTTCTCAACCTGGGGGTCGCGAGGGGTGTCAGTGGGGTCGCCAAAGACCATCAGTAAACACAGTATATTCTGTTGGTCATGGGGGTTATGTGTGGGAAATTTGGACCAATTCTATCATTGGTGGGGTTCAGAAAGCTCTTTGATTGTAGGTGAACTATAAATCCCAGCAACTACATCTCCCAAATGTCAAGGTCTGTTTCCCACCAAACTCCAACAGTGTTAACATTTGGACATATTGAGTATTCATGCCAACTTTGGGCCAGATCTATCATTGTTTGAGTCCACAGTGCTCTCTGGATGTAGGTGAACTACAACTTCCAAACTCAAGGTTAATGCCCACCAAACCCTTCTAGTGTTTTCTGTTGGTCATGGGTCCTGTGTGCCAAGTTTGGTTCAATTCCATCATTGGTGGAGTTCAGACTGCTCTTCGATTGTAGCTGAACTATAAATCCCAGCAACTACAACTCCCAAATGACAAAATCAATCCCCCCTACAATCCCACCAGTATTCAAATGTCGGCGTATCAGTAAGATACATCCTGCATATTAGATATTTACATTGCAATTCATAACGGTAGCAAAATTACGGTTATGAGGTAGCAGCGAAAATAATGTTATGGTTGGGGGTCACCACAACAAGAGGACCTGTACTAAGGGGTCATGGCATTAGGAAGGTTAAGAACTACTTATCTACAGTGTAGACACAATCCATGAGATGAACAAAGCAAAGGGTTTTGGGCAGGGAATAAAAACAGGCAGTGTCATCAGTGGGGCAATGGTCCTTCTCTAGTTTTTAGTCCAAACATCACAGGAGATCTCCATGGTGCTGAACCCTCCTAAACTGATCTCAGATTGTTTTTTCAAAGGTTATACTACAGCAGCGTTTCTCAACCTGGGGGTCATGAGGGGGTGTCAGTGGGGTCGCCAAAGACCATCAGTAAACACAGTATGTTCTGTTGGTCATGGGGGTTATGTGTGGGAAATTTGGACCAATTCTATCGTTGGTGGGGTTCAGAAAGCTCTTTGATTGTAGGTGAACTATAAATCCCAGCAACTACAACTCCCAAATGTCAAGGTTTATTTTCCCCAAACTCCACCAGTGTTTACATTTGGGCATACTGAATATTCGTGCCAAATTTGGTCTAGATTCATCATTGTTTGAGTCCAACGTGCTCTCTGGATGTAGGGGAACTACAACTCCAAAACTCAAGGTCAATGCCCACCAAACCCTTCCAGTATTTTCTGTTGGTCATGGGAGTTCTGTGTGCCATGTTTGGTTCAATTCCATCGTTGGAGGAGTAAAGAATGGTCTTTGCTTGTAGGTGAACTATCAATCCCAGTAACTACAACTCCCAAATGACAAAATCAATCCCCCTCAACCCCACCGGTATTTTGTCTGTTTTTATTTATTGGTTTATTATTTGTTGTTTTGGCATTGAATGTTTGCCGTTGTGTTTGTTTTGTTGAAACCCGCCTTAAGTCCCTTTGGAGAGATAGGGCAGTCTACAAATTATTATAATAATTAATAACAATAATAATAACAACAACAACACGATAGACATCATCATCATCATCAATCATCATCATTATTTGAAACACAACAAGAGGAGTCCACAGCAGACACTCTGCTGGCTGTTGTATTGGATCACACGTTGGACACTTCCCATGTGTCTAGGACTGTGTGATGTATTGGTGGATAATGCGTGCAGATCCAAGGAAGGTGGCCTTTTGCAGCTGACGTATGGTAATTTTGTCAGCGCCAATTGTTTTTAAGTGCAGGCCAAGGTCTTTAGGCACTGTGCCCAGTGTGCCGATCACCATTGGGACCACTTTGACTGGCTTGTGTCAGAGTCTTTGCAGTTTGATCTTTAAATCCTCATTATTGTGTAAGCTTTTTGCTGCTTGTCAATTCTATTATCACCTGGGATTGCAACATCGATGATCCATACATTGTTTTTCCCCACAACTGTGAGGTCAGGAGTATTGTGCTCCAAAACTCTGTCTTAATTCAGAAGTCCCAGAATCATAGAATCATAGAATCAAAGAGTTGGAAGAGACTTCATGGGCCATCCAGTCCAACCCCATTCTGCCAAGAAGCAGGAATGTTGCATTCAAATCACCCCTGACAGATGGCCATCCAGCCTCTGTTTAAAAGCTTTCAAAGAAGGAGCCTCTACCACACTCCGGGGCAGAGAGTTCCACTGCTGAACGGCTCTCACAGTCAGGAAGTTCTTCCTCATGTTCAGATGGAATCTCCTCTCTTGTAGTTTGAAGCCATTGTTTCATGTCCTAGTCTCCAGGGAAGCAGAAAACAAGCTTGTTCCCTCCTCCCTGTGGCTTCCTCTCACATATTTATACATGGCTATCATATCCCCTCTCAGCCTTCTCTTCTTCAGGCTAAACATGCCCAGCTTAGTTTAACATGTTCATTTTCTGTAACTTTGTCCGGCTTGTGATCCCACCAGTTCTTTGTCGCAGGCAGATGGTGTTTGTGGCACAAGTTCCAATGAATCATCTGAGCAAGGGTGTTGTGCCTCTGCTTGTAGTCTGTCTGCGCGATCTTCTTGCAGCAGCTGAGGATGTGATCTATTGTTTCATCTTGCAGAGTCTACACTTTGGATCWGTCATTGACTTTTCCATTCTGGCTTGGATGGCATAGGTTCAAATGGCTTGTTCTTGGGCTGCCAGAATCAGGCCCTCCTTTGTCTCCTTTTCCAGAGTCCCATTTGTGAGCCACAGCCATGTTTGTTCTTTGTCAATTTGGCTCTCARTTTTTCCCAGMAACTGTCCATGGAGAGCCTTCTTTGGCCAGGTTTCTCTTCTGGTCTGGATTATGTTTTTACGGTATTCACTCTTTGTCCTTTGCACTTGAAGCCGTTTACTACTCTTGATGTTGGTCCTTGACCTATTATTATTATTATTATTATTATTATTATTATTATTGGGTTGCTGCGAGTTTTCTGCTCTGTATGGCCAAGTTCCAGTAGCATTCTCTCCTTATGTTTCCATTTGTGAGCCATAGCTATGTTTATTACTATTATATTTATTTATACCCCACTTTTCCTCTTCATTGGGAGACTCAAAGCGGCCTGTAACAACACAACCGCCAACGATCTTCGATCTAACAGGCACACTAAAACCTCCCACAAATCCTTACACTACATCTAGGAGAATTTTGCAAAATGTGGTTCACAAAAAATGAAGATTTCCAATGATGTCCTGTGATTCACCTCGTCCTCATCTTTCCAACTGGAATGTGGAACTACATTTTCTCTGCCTTCTCCCTGTCTGCAGAACGTTAAGCCAGCGATATCTTGGGGGGTAGAGACCTGTCTGTTCTGGCTTATATTAAGCCTGCAAAGTACCATGCATATTGATGGCGCGCTATAAATAATCCACACTCGCTAATCCATGCAGGGAAGGGAGAAGCGCTTCACGTCGGCAGACTTTGCAGAAGGAACGTGATGCCGGTTCAAGCCCAAGAGTGGCTCTCGTGTCACCGAACGTTCACCCACATTTGTGGAATGTTCACAAGGAAAAGACAAGTTTCTCAAAGGAAAGCTCTGGCAAAAAGGAAACCAGTGGAGGAAGGAAGCAGGAATCGACTCTTGCTTTGGTCTTGGGACTTATGTTCATATTCCTGCAAAATAAATTGTGGCAAGTTCTTAGTGGGATGGGCATCCCAAGCCACCTTGTCTCTCTCCTGAGGAATCTGTACAAGGACCAAGTAGCAACAGTCAGAACTGACCACGGAACAACAGACTGGTTCAAGATTGGGAAAGGCGTACGGCAAGGCTGCATCCTCTCACCCAACCTTTTTAACTTGTATGCAGAACACATCATGCGAGGATGTGCAGGGCTGGATGAATGCAAAGCTGGGGTGAAAATTGCTGGAAGAAACATTAACAACCTCAGATATGCAGATGACACAACTCTGATGGCCGAAAGCGAGGAGGAGCTGAGGAGCCTTCTAATCAAGGTGAAAGAAGAAAGCGCAAAAGCCGGGTTGCAGCTAAACGTCAAAAAAACCAAGATTATGGCAACAAGAATGATTGACAACTGGAAATAGAGGGAGAAAACGTGGAGGCAGTGACAGACTTTGTATTCTAGGTGCAAAGATTACTGCAGATGCAGACTGTAGCCAGGAAATCAGAAGACGCTTACTTCTTGGGAGGAGAGCAATGTCCAATCTCGATAAAATAGTAAAGAGTAGAGACATCAGAATGGCAACAAAGATTCGCCTAGTCAAAGCCATGGTATTCCCTGTAGTAACCTACGGATGTGAGAGCTGGACCTTAGGGAAGGCTGAGCGAAGGAAGATCGATGCTTTTGAGCTGTGGTGTTGGAGGAAAGTGCTGAGAGTGCCTTGGACTGCGAGAAGATCCAACCAGTCCATCCTCCAGGAAATAAAGCCCGACTGCTCATTGGAGGGAAGGAGACTAGAGACAAAGCTGAAGTCCTTTGGCCACATCATGAGGAGGGAGCAAAGCCTAGAGAAGACAATGATGCTGGGGAAAGTGGAAGGCAAAAGGAAGAGGGGCCGACCAAGGGCAAGGGATGGATGGCATCCTTGAAGTGACTGGACTGACCTTGAGGGAGCTGGGGGTGGTAACGGCCGACAGGGAGCTCTGGCGTGGGCTGGTCCATGAGGTCACGAAGAGTCGGAGACGACTGAACGAATGAACAACAAGGGCTGTTGGGTCTGTTAGCCTGTAAAGACTCCCAGCTAATCCAAGAATAAAGCAGATCAATCTCTATATATAAGCATAAAATAAGTATGTACACTTTGGGTCTCTCTTGGGAGAGATAAAGCTGGGTCAGGTGTAAATAAATATAATAATAATAATAACCATCATCATCATCTTGTATAAATAAAAATGTAATGTTCGTTTGTGGGATTAGCATAACTCAAAAACCACTGGACGAATTGCCGTCAAATTTGGCCGCAAGACACCTACTAACCCAAGGAGTGACCATCACTCAAAAAAATTGATTTTGTCATTTGGGAGTTGTAGTTGCTGGGATTTATAGTTCACCTACAATCAAAGAGAATTTTGAACTCCACCAATGATGGAACTGAACCAAACGTAGCGCACAGGACTCTCATAAACAACAGAAAATGCTAGAAGGGTTTGGTGGGCATTGACCTTGAGTTTGGGAATTGTAGTTCACCTACATCCAGAGAGCACAACATGATGGATCTGGACCAAACTTGGCACGAATACTCAATATGCCCAAATGTGAACAGTGGTAGAGTTTGGGGAAAATAGAATCTTGACATTTAGGAGTTTAGTTGCTGGGATTTGTAGTTCACCTACAATCACAGAGCATTCTGAATGCCACCAATGACAGAATTGGGGCAAACTTCCCACACAGAACCCCCATACTTAAGGCCATCCAGTCCAACTCCTTTCACCAGGGCAAGAAAACGTAATCAAAGCTCTCCTGACAAAGAGCCATCCAGCCATAGATACAGATAGATAGATATGATTCACACACAGAGAGATATAGTATCATAGATTTGAAAGGGACCCCTAAAGAAGGACAATGATATCTTGTATGTTCCAGGGTGGGCAAACCAGACAATCTCCACATCAACATTGACTAAGAAACAACACTGTGGACTCAAACAATGATGGCTCTGGACCAAACTCTACACGAATACTCAATATGTCCAAATATGAACACTGGTGGAGTTTGGGGAAAATAGAATCTTGACATTTAGGAGTTGTAGTTGCTGGGATTTATAGTTCACCTACAATCAAAGAGCATTCTGAACCCCACCAACGAGAAAATTGGGCCAAACCTCCCACACAGAACCCCCATGTGGGTTACAGCAACACGGGGCAACACGGCAGCAACACGGGGCAGGGGACGGGTAGTTATAAATAAAAATGTAATGTTCATTTGTGGGATTAACATAACTCAAAAACCACTGGGCGAATTGACACCAAATTTGGACACAATACACCTATCAGGTCAAAAAGTGACCATCACTCATAAAAACACTGAAAAACACAGCGGAAGAGACTTAAAAAGCCAAAAAATAAAAAAGTACATTACAACAAATGCGCAAAAGCACATATATACTCAAATATATATGCACACATAAAACACATATACACAGACTGGGCCACAGCAATGTGTGGCAGGAGATGGTTAGTAGTATTATATATAGAGAGCAGGCTTGGGCAAACTTGGGCCTTCGAAGTGTTTTAGACTTCAACTCCCACAATTCCTGAAGTCCAAAACACCTGGAGGGCCCAAGTTTGCCCAGGACTGATAGAGAGAGATCTCAACGCAATCAAGGGTTCTATGCAGGGAGCTGTACCCACACAATGCCTCGCATTTGAATGGTGGGGTTTCGATGGGAGACCGTGTGCGCCCCTACCTTGGACTCGAGGTAAACGTTGGCCGAGGACATTTTGGAGAGCCGGCACATGGTGCAGGCCAGCAAGGCACAGGAGAGGATGAAGAGGCCGTCGTTGATCACGACCCGCGTGAAGAGGGCCCAGCGCCGCTGCTCTTCGGGCGCATCGTCGTGTGCCAGTAGCGTGCAGGTCAAGTTCACGAAGAGGAAGAGAAGGCTGGTGAAGATGGCGCCCAGGTACAAAACCACCCTGGAAAGTTGGATGAAATAGGGATGGGAATAAAACATTGGTAATACTCACAAATAGACGGAACCATGCCCAAGAGAACGTGCTACTATTGGACCAACAACTTTTGGGCTCCACTTATGGAAAAAGGAGACTTCCTTACGCTGACGTTTCCAACGTGGATTTGACATGGCCCATTTCTATTCCCCGCCCAAACCCTTCAAGCTTTGTGTATATTTCATGGCATGCATCTACACTGAAGAATTAATGCAGTTCGACGCTGCTTTAAACTGCTATGGTTCAATGCTATGCAATGCTGGGAGTTGCCCTCTTCGGCGGAGAAGGCTGAAAACCTTGTGAAACCACAACTCAATATAGATCAGTGTTTCTCAACCTGGGGGTCGGGACCCCTGGAGGGGTCATGAGGGGGTCTCAGAGGGTTCGCCAAAGACCACCAGAAAACACAGTATTTTCTGTTGATCATGGAGGTTCTGTGTGGGATGTTTGGCCCAATTCTAACCTTGGTGGGGTTCAGAATGTTCTTTGACTGTAGGTGAACGATAAATCCCAGCAACTACAACTCCCAAATGTCAAGTCTATTTTCCCTAAACTCCACCAGAGTCCACATTTGGACATATTGATTTTTATGCCAAGTTTGATCCAGATTCATCATTGTTTTGAGTCCACTGTGCTCTCGAGATGTAGGTGAACTACAACTCCAAAACTCAAGGTCTATGTTCCCCAAGCCTCTCCAGTATTTTCTGTTGGTCATGGGAGTTCTGTGTGCCAAGTTTGGTTCAATTCTATCATTGGTGGTGTTCAGAATGCTCTTTGATTGTAGGTGAACTACAACTCTCAAATGATGGAATCAATACCCCCAAATCCCACCAGTATTCGAATTTGGGTGTATCGGGTCTTTGTGCCAAATTTGGTCCAGTGAATGAAAATACATCCTGCATATCAGATATTTATATTACGATTCAGAACAAGAGCAAAATTACAGTTGTGAAGTAGTAATGAAAATAATTTTATGGTTGGGGGGTCACCACAACATATGGAACTGTATTAAGGGGTCGCAGGATTAGGAAGGTTGAGAACCACTGATATAGATGGTCTATAGCACCGAGCCATGGCCATTCAAGTGGTGCCAAACTGCATTAATTCTACAGTGTAGGTGTGGCCTAAGATGAATCCCCTTATTTGGGGATCGATACTACCTACACTGTGACTGGATTGACCTTGAAGGAGCTGGGGGTGATGACGACCAACAGGGAGCTCTGGCGTGGGCTGGTCCATGAAGTCACGAAGAGTCAGAAACGACAGAACGAATGAACAACAACAACCACCTATACATCATCTTAGAGCCCCCGGTGGCACAGGGGGTTAAACCGCTGAGCTGCTGAACTTCCTGATCGAAAGCTCACAGGTTTGAATCCAGGAAGCGGGGAGAGCTTCCACTGTTAGCCTCACCTTCTACCAACCTAGCAGTTCGAAAACATGCAACCTAGCAGTTCGACAGCAGGATTGACAAGAAGGAACTGGAAAAGTTCCTAACAAGGATTCAAAGATCACATCCTCAACTTCTGCAAGAAGATCGTGCAGACAGACTACAAGCAGAGTCACAACACCGTTGCTCAGATGATTCATTGGAACTTGTACCACAAAGACCATCTGCCTGTGACAAAGAACTGGTGGGATCACAAGCCTTAAAAAGTTACAGAAAATGAACACGTCAAACTCCTCTGGGACTTCCGGATTTAGACAGACGGAGTTTTGGAGCACAAGACTCCTGACCTCACGATCGGATTAAAAAACAAAATATGGATTGTCGATGTTGCAATCCCAGGTGACAACAGAATTGACAACAAACAAAAAGCTTACACAATAACGAGGATTTAAAGATCAAACTACAAAGACTCTGGCACAAGGTCCCAGTGGTGATCGGCACACTGGGTGCAGTGCCTCAAGACCTTGGCCTGCACTTAAAAACAATTGGCGCTGACAAAATCACCATCCGTCAGCTGTAAAAGGCCACCCTACTCTGATCTGCACACATTATTCATCGATACATCACACAGTCCGATGTGTGAACGAATACAAAAGCCAGCATACCGATCTTGTTTGCTGTGTACTAATCCTGTTGTGTATCAAACAATAATATAATTATATAATAATTAGATTATTATATTATAATATATTATAATTATATTAGAGCCCCTGGAGGTGAAGTGGGTTTATGTGCTGAGCTGCAGAACTTGCTGACCGAAAGGTCACAGGTTCAAATCCAGGGAACGGTGTGAGCTCCCGCTGTTTATTAACCCCAGCTTCTGCCCACCTAGCAATTTGAAAACATGTAAATGTGAGTAGATTTAAAGGTACCGCTCCAACGGGAAGGTAATGGCGCTCCACGAAGTTATGTCACCTCCACCTTGGAGGTGTCTAAGGACAATGCTGGCTCTTCGGTTTAGAAACGGAGATGAGCACCAACTCCCAGAGTTGGACACGACTGGACTTAATATTAGAGGAAAACTTTTACCTTTACTTACACATCATCTTATATATCCTTCCTTTCAAACTGTTGTATAACGAACTCCTGGTAATTGCGGTATAGTATGCTGCTTTTGGACCGCATTCTCCCCTTAAACATCCTTTTAAAAATCACACCCCAAACTTTGTACCCACCTTCCCATAGAACTTACTTGTATCTGTTGAATTCGGCAGCACACTTGACTTTGAAGATGACCTATGGGGAAATATACGTTTACATTTTATTACATGCTGGGGGTGTATGTATTGCATCATACGGACATTTTGGGGGATACAAAAACCGGGAGATGCAGGAAAATACAAGCCAGCTGTCCTCTTTGTTTACTTATTACTGATGTTTATTTATACCCCGCTTTTTTCTCCACAAGGAGACTCAAAGCAACTTACATTAAAAACATTTCAAAACAATTTAAAATCTTCAAATATAGAAACCTAAAGACATTTATTGATATACTTTTTTTTAGCGGTGTAATAATCATATCAGAGAAGTACAGGAGATGGCTTACAATCCTAGAGTTGGAAGAGACCTGGTGGGCCATCCAGTCCAACCCCATTCTGCCAAGAAGCAGGAAAATCACCTTTAATTCCATCATTGGTGAAGTACATTACTTGAGTCCACCGTGCTCTCTGTTTGTAGGTGAACTACGTCTCCCAAACTCAAGGACAATGCCCACAAAACCCTTCCAGTATTTTCTGATGGTCATGGGAATTCTCTGTGCCAAGTTTGGTTCAATTCCATCATTGGTGGAGTAGAATGAACCGCATTGAGTCGCCTGTCCGGGCTGAAATATGCGGTATAGAAATAAAGCAAATAATAATAATAATAATAATAAGAAGAATGCTCTTTGATTGTAGGTGAACTATAAAGCCCAGAAACTACAACTTCCAAATGGCAAAATCAATCACCCCTCCCTAACCCCACCAGTATTCAATTTTGGGCATATTGGATATTTGTGCCAAATTTGGTCCAGTGAATGAAAAGACATCCTGCATATCAGATATTACAGTTCTGAAGTAGCAACGAAAATATCAAGCAAAAAGTGGGTGCTAGACTGGCACAACCTGGCACAACCTGGGGATCACAACCAGACACAGTGAAGACATCTGCCCTTGCGCTATGCCACTCTGCTGCTGAGTACGCATGCATGCCCAGTGTGGAACACATCTCACCACACTAAAACAGTAGATATGGCTCTTAATGAGACACGTCGCATTATCACGGGGTGTCTGTGCCCTACACCACTGGAGAAATTACACTGTTTAGCCGGTATTGCACCACCTGACATCCGCCGGGAAGTAGCAGCCAATAGTGAAAGGACCAAGGCAGTGACATCTCCAGCTCATCCCTTGTTTGGGTATCAGCCAGCACGTCAACAATTTAAATCAAGAAATAGTTTTCTAAGATCTACAGAGACCCTTGCTGGAACACCTCAGCAAGCGAGAGTCCAAAAGTGGCAGGCTCAAACCCAGCACCTCAATCAGTGGGTGATACTGTGAGTCGCCCTCAATCCGCTGTGAGTCGCCCTTGGGCTTGAGATACAGCGGTATACAAGAATAGTAAATAAATAAATAAATAAATGATACCAAATGAGAGACTCCCCCTGGGCACACAGAAAACTGGGCGACTTGGAAGGCGCTGAACACACTGCGCTCTCACGAGATGCAGAGCCAACCTCAAGAAATGGGGCTACAAAGTGGAATCCACGACATGCGAGTGTGGAGAAGAGCAAACCAGTGACCACCTGCTGCAATGCAACCTGAGCCCTGCCACATGCACAATGGAGGACCTTCTTGCGGCAACACCAGAGGCACTCCAAGTGGCCAGATACTGGTCAAAGGACATCTAATCAACTACAAAACTTGCAAACTTTGTGTTTTGTTTGTCTTGTTAAAATGCAATACGACTGTTTGGTTTGCTCCTGACATGATAAATAAATAACGAAAATATTGTTATGGTTGGGGGTCACCACAGCATGAGGAACTGTATTAAGGGGTCACGGCATTTGGAAGGTTGAGAAACACTGCCTGAGACTCACTGCTTTCTTCAAAGAGCTGCTGCTTTGGTGGCAAAGAATCCCAGTTGGTTCACAAACAATTCTCCCAGCAATTTCTATCCGCAATGACTTTTCGGAAGCTCATGAAATTCCCAGATCACAAGGAAGAAGAATGAAGCATGTACACCTGGCAGCAGGAACGCAACTGTTCGGTCTGCCTGTTTTGACTAATCTCCTGCCTTCCATCTATTTGCTTATTAAGTTTTACAGCTGGGCCAGGTGCCCAGTTGTTTTCAAGCCCCAAATCCTGGGAACTCTCTGGTAACAATTCAAGGAGTACACCATCATCCCCACACTCTTCAGGGACATTCTCTTTGCACAGGGGTCTCCTGGTCCTTCTCTGCATCTGTATCATTGACCAAACCATTGCCACCTTGGAATTCATTGGCATCACTTACCACATCCAAAGCATCCTGATCCTGAAACACAATCACAGGCTGAAAGCCAACAGCTGCATTAAAATCACTACTGGCCTAGAGGTCATGAGTTTGAAGCCAGCCCGGGTCAGAGTGAGCTTCTGGCCATTTGTCTAGCTTGCTGTCAACCTTTGCAGCCCAAAAGACAGTTGCATCTGTCAAATAGAAAATTTAGGTACCGCTTATGCGGGGAGGTTAATTTAACTAATTTACAATGGCATAAAAAACTCTCCAGCAGTGTGCAAAAGAATGAGGAAAGTACTCCATCAGTGTCGCAAGTGGATGGTGAAGCAACAGCTCCCCCGGTGGACAGAATTCAAAAAGCATACCCTCATGAAGCTGGAAAGTTAAATAGCCTCTGTGCGTCTGCCTACATATGTTGTGTGTTTATGGCACTGAATGTTTGCCATGTCTGTGTGCATTGTGATCCGCCCCGAGTCCCCTGCGGGGTGAGAAGGGCGGAATAAAAATACTGCAAATAATAATAATAATAATTATAATAAGTTATATAATCCAAAAGGAGTAGACTAGAAACCAAACTATCTACTTGCTTAGTTTTCTAAACATTCATTGGGGAATTATACACCAAGGAACATTGGGAAATGTTCTAAGCAATATGCCATTTTGGGAATCATAAGGTGAAACATACCCAAAAACAGGTCTAACATTTGAGGCATCAAAAGGTGTGTTTGTTACCACATCTGCAACCGGTCAAATCTGCAAATGCGGAGGGAAGCCTATAGTTTCCGAGATCTTGTTTATGTTGTGACTCAGCAGCTTGACTCTGAGTCTGAAGCTGAGCCCTGTGGGTCTTGTGAGCCAGAGTTCCCACACGACCAGGTGGAGATGTCTTCGCCTTCTTTGCCTTCCCACGGTGATCCATCACAGCTGGTAAACCAAGACAAGGGGTTACAGAGCCTTGAAGATAATGAATTAATGAGCAGGCAAGATCGCCTGCAATTAAGGGTCCGGAGAAGTTCTCGCTTAGCTAGTAAACGAGAAGCCAAGTCTGCCAAAGGTCATCGCAATGCGTTCATGGCTGCAAAGGGTATTTAGCCTTCGGGCTAACAAACAGGCGTTGTCAGTTCAACGTAGTTCTTTCCATGCAAACTTCTATGGATTAACCTTGGCTTTAAGCAGCACGCTTTTGGCTTCCTGATTCTGAGATTTTCGGTCTTGTGTTCAACTGTTTTACCATGGACTCTTGTTTGACCATTGCTTAAAGGATTATGCTTCATGTTTTTGCCTTTGGATCTTGGGAAGTGTGTCTTAGCATTTAAGCCTGAGCCCTGCCTATGGAACTCTTGCATTTGTTATACTATGTTTTTGACTTTGCCTTTTTCTCAATAAACTACAAAATCTACAGCTTTGATGTGGTGGTGTTTTGGAGCAAGGTGAAAACTACCCTGAGTTGCAACAGTTTGAACGAGCCTGCAAAAAAATTAGATATTTGCAGGAATCTGTCCCCGACTTGTGGGGCTTCTCCTCTACGACATTGCAAGACCTATCCAAGATCATGATGTCATGCGCTCAAGACTAGTGTAACGTTAATGGCCTGCGAGAATATCCACCCGCAAGGACATTGCCCAGGGGACACCTGGATGATTTTGATGTTTTATCATCCTTGTGGGAGGCTGCTCTCATGTCCCCGCATGAGGAGCTGGAGCTGATAGTTGGGAGCTCATCTGCCTCTCCCCGGATTTGAACCTGCGACCTGTCAGTCTTCAGTCTTGCCGGCACAGGGGTTTAACCCACTGCGCCACTGGGGGCTCCTCAATAATAATAATAATAATAATAATAATAATAATAATAATAATAATAATGTAGCACCAATAGATCAGTTGTCCACAACCTGTGGCCCTCCAGATGTTTTGGATTCCAGCTCCCAGAATTCCTGACCCATTGGACAAGCTGGCAATAGGGAGCCATAGGTTTTGCATCACTGGGCTAGATAAAAAAGCGCATAGACATGCACCACAATAGCTTTGACTGAGCATCAAGCATTGTGTTACTGCAGCATCTCTTTAATGGTATAGTAACCACCTCTAAATGCATGTTTTGCACTACTGCAGTCCCCATCATCTCCCAACCAGGTAAGGGGGTTATGGGAGTTGTAGTCCATCAGAATTGGATAATATTGGGGGCTATGTTTACAGAATGCAAACAAGAACACTCCCACTGCTTCGACTTTCCCTTCTCCCTTTTCAAAGCAGGTGCAATGTTTTTTCCCATCTAGTCCTTGCGCATAGCAATTTGGATATCAAGCCCCACAGTGTCTGATTGAGTTTCAAGCCATCTAAATACTTCTTGTAATCCAGAAGAAAAAGAACATTCTTTTGATTCTTTTATTTCCATCTGTGCATGGGCATCTGTGGTTATTTTTAAGCGGTGCGCATAGAGGAGCTTCCTTGCGCTCGTCCTGCGAACGCCACACCCCCAAGAACCCAATGAAATCATTGTTGACGCCACGGTCCTAAAGTGACAGGACAAATTTGCAGCAAATCAGCCGAGCGAGGGTTGGTTCGCAAGACCGGGCTGATAAACAACATTTTGTCCTTTTGCAAACAACAACAATAGGAAAGTAACCTTAGGAAGACGAAAACACTTGCCTAAAAAATACTCCAATCTGCTGAGAAGAGACAAAGCATCCAAGCAAAAAGCAGGTTTGGATCCAAGTCTTGCATTACGGCATGCACTTTTCCCCAGGAGCAAATCCCACCGGACAA